CCCCTTTAATTGGTTCGGAACGGCCCGTTCTGGTCTAGAACGGCCCGTTCCAACCTATTTTTTTTAGGCCTTTTAGAAGCCTTGGAACGGCCCGTTCCAATTCGAGAACGGCCCGTTCCGGACTTGGGAACGGCCCGTTCCGATTTTGGAACGGCCCGTTCCGGGCCACTAAAAAAAGTTGATTTGGGCCTTTGGACCCTCTGATGTCCTATCTTATTATTTGTATGCCCCCCCGGACGAAATTGGGTGTCTACACATGGTAGGGTGTTGTGATTCGTTGTTGGATGTGCCGCCTCTCGCCACTATAAAGTGTAGGTTTTTTTGTATTACTTGGGGCATAGGAAAAGTTTTACCGTAGCCCCACGGTGGACGCTAAAATATTATGGCCAAAGGGTGGACTAGGGTTTTTCTCCTAGATCAAGCCTCCAGGCCAAAGCATTCAAGAGTGTAATCTGCCTGTTTAGCTCTAGGATTTTAGGTTTTATACTTTCTTGTTCTTGGGCCTCATGGGCCCCGTAAATGTAGAGATTTCTTCATCATTAGTATTTGAGAGATATTCGATACTTAAAGGTAAGATCCTATCCTTAATTCTGGTCTTGTATCCATATGAGGAAACAGGATCAAAATCTGGCTGAGGCAACATTCCCACAAAAGGACCAGGTTGGATATTGACCGAGCAGCCCCTTACAGGGAAATAAGGTCAGAAATTGACCGGGTGAAGCCCTACAGAGAAGCGAGGTCAGAATATGACCGAGTTCCCCCTATCGAGAGGTCAGATCAGCTAATACTGAGTGCCCCCATACCGAGGTCAGATCGACTTATACCAGGGACGGAACACTTGCCTTCCAGCCCTGAGCCAAATAAGGCGAAAGGGCTTAACTATTCCCCACCTCGAGTCTAGAGCCTACGCAGGGGAATGCATCAGATTATCACCGAGATGGTACACTTGACCGAGTGCCCCCACATCGGGGTCAGATCGGCATGTACCCGGGACGGTACAGAACCCAATTGGAGGAGTTGAAGACCTAATTTTTATTTTCCCTTAATTCTTTCTTAATTTCTTTTGGGCCACTTGTATTTGGGCCTTGTTTCTTTATTTTGGGTTGTAATTGGCCATTTTTAAACCTCTTCATTTTTTGTGGTAGTTTCATGTAGATTGAAGGTGATTTGAAAACCTTCACCTAGGAAATCCGACTAGTATATGTTTAAGTGCTTTCCTTTGCATGCTTTATAGCTTTTGTAGTATAATTGCCTAGGACTTATTTTATCTAGTTGTTGCGTTTAGGAGGCTTCATTTTTCCTACTGTGGGGCCGTGCACACCACACACTTTATTCTTGTGCAAAATTGTTTTTGTGAGAAAAGTGTGAAAAAACTTAGTGATTTTTACTTGAAAAGGGTTGGTTTTTAAGTGATTCTTAGTAGTCCACCTCCCTTGATAGTTCACTTTGTACACCTAGGCCTTTTCATACCAAACTTGCACCATGATTTTTAACAAATAATAGTTAAAATTACTTCATTACC